CGGCGCTGCCTGGCTGTCAGCTTTGCTCTGCAGCGTCTGGGCTGGCTCGGGCTTGGTGCCGGGTTCATTTTCTCTTTGTCAGTCGGGTCCAAATTTTAGCTTTTTTTAAGCGGAGTTGCTTGCATCGAGCAGCTGTTTCTCCAAGTTCCATGTAACTCATGAGTTGCGGAGCATTCGTTTGTCTGGAGGCTTGTGACGTCCTCATCCCGGTTTCTTTTTTTGTGCGTTAAGTTACGTGCTTGGACAGTGTTGCATCCTGAAATCAGTTAATTCAGGTAATCAGTTCCCCGTGTGCAGGGCAGCTTCCGAGTCGCAGGGGCGATGCCGAGCGAGCGGGGCAGCCCTTCGCTCTGGTCGGGAGCTGCGCGGCTGCGGCAAAGGCTGCGATTTCGGCGCCGCTGGGAGCGTGCCGTGGGGGATCCCCGCAGATGCCCCCGCTGCGGATCTCCGTGGCTGCGCCCTTCCCCGGGTGCCGTGGGGAGGGTTTCCCACTCGACGTTCCCGTGCGTCCTCCGCGATCCAAGCGTGCTCGTGTCCCCTCTGGCTCCGCCGCAGGCGTGGATCAGGGCGCCCGGTCGATGGCCGGGCTCTGCGTGTCGATAACCAGAGACGCTTCGCCGTGAGCTCCAGCCGGCGTCGCAGCTCCGTGACCGCCAGCCGTGCAAAGCGAGCAGCCCTGACCCGAGCCCCGTGTGCCGTCCCCATCCCCCAGCGTCGCTGTCACCGCAGAGGAGGGGACGCTCGTCCCTGGTGGCTGCGTGGGACCGGACCCGCCTCCCTCCGTCCCCGCGGGACCCCGGCCATGCCGCAGGGATGGATTTTTCGCCCTTTGCCGCTGTTATTAATGGCAGCAAGCGGAAAAGCAGCTCCCGGCCCACGGCTGCTTGTTTGTTTTCTCAAGCGGCTCGGCCGGGCTGATGCCCGGGCCCCTCGCCCAGCGCAGGAGCTAAGCCCAGCAGCAGGCGCGCAGCTCGCCCAAGAGGGGCCTGCGGCCCAGAGCAGAAATAACCGTGGCAATTAGTGCGGCGGCTTCGGGGCGTTTTGGTGGGTGGAGGGCGAGGAATCGGGCACCGTAGCCCCCCGTACGGGAGGGGACGCGGTGGCATCCCTGGCCGGTGGCCGGGAGGTGCCCGGAGCCTTTGTGCTGGTGCTGGCGCATCCGGAACAATGCGGCAGCGATGCCGCGGCGAGGTTTGGGGCTCGCTCCAGCCGGCGATCGCGGGCAGCGCCGGGCCAGTCTTGGCTTTGAGGGGCTCCTGGCTCGGCCGTGGCCAGCAGCGTTTGCTTTTGTTGCCAAGCCTGGCAGTAGCCGGCACAGGGTGTCTGTCCGTGACCAAAGCCCCGCAGCACCGGGACGGGGAGATGGGGATGGGGAGCCCCTTGCCAGGGCTGTGCTGCAGCATCCCAGCTGGTTATCCCGCCTGGAATAACAGCGTCTGGCCACGCTCTGCCCGCCCCAGCCGGGGAAAATGCCGGGCTTGGCCACAGGCTGGCCCTAACTGGGATGTGCCGGCGCGGGGAGGCAAGGCGGACGCTTGTCGGCGTCTCAGGTTATTAAAATGAATTTGCAGCTGGACTCTCTCCTTTCGGAGACTCGATTCCACAAAACTCGTGAAACCTGCCTGCTCTCCCCAAACCCAGGCCAAGTCCCGCGCGGGACAGGCTGGGCTGACGGCGCGGCATTCCTGGCATTCCTCCCCAGCCCGGCCACGCGTGCCGCTCGCTGCTGTCCTCGTCGCCGGGACGGTGGGACGCGCGCGGGCCTTTCCTCCTGCCCCGGCGGCCTGGTGCATCTGCCCCGGCGGCGTTTTCCTCCTGGGGAGCCCCGGGGTGGCCCCGGCTCCTCCACGGACCCTCCCCGAGAGGCGCTCCCGAAGCTTTGGCAGCGAGGGTGGGGAGGAGCATTTCCAGGGGGGGCAGCAGCAAGAGGATGGCAGCAGTGGTGTCGGTCCTGAAAGCTGGCATCCTTAGGAAAAAAAACTCCCTGTCATCGATGGAGAACTGAACGTTACAGGGATGGGGCTGGGAAAAGCCCCCCGGGACCGTGTGCTCGGCGCTGCTTCGGCCGGCAGGGCTGCGGGAGGAGGAACCCACCTTCGTGCGGCGGCGGGAGCGGAGCAGCGAGCAGGGGTTTGCGTGTCTGAGTCCCCTGCTGTAGCAAGATTTAATGAGGGTATTGAGGCAAAAGCGCTCTCGTTAGAAAAGCCCGCGTGATGGCCGCTGTCCCTGCCTGGATTTGGTGTTTCGTGCAGAATTTGTTGATCTTTGGGTGGGTGCTGGGCTTGTAGCCGGGGGCTACGAGGGAAGCTGGGCGGCTCTGAGCCTGTTTGGTGCCACAGGGCAGCTCTCAGCACGGCAGGAGCTCCTGGAAAACCCTCCTGCGGGTCCCCGTGAGCGGGGTCAGGGCAGGGGGCGGCTGCAGCGCGTTTTGCTCGGCGCGTTCAGGGCTCCGCAGCTGCGGTTTCCCATCTTCTCTGTATTTATGTTCCCAAAGGAGCCGCACGGGCCCCTTCCCTCCCTCCCCGTTCGCCCTCCCAGGGAGATGGGACGCGTTTCGGAGCTGTGGGGCCGTGGGTTTCTGCCCCCGGCTGCCCATCGCAACCATCTTGAGCAGGGTCCTAAAAACGCTCGTGGCAGGGTGAGGCCCTCGGGCACCGGCGCCTCGGGCGGCTTTGCTGCTTGGAGGATGCTTGGAGGAAGCAGAAGCCTCGCGGAGCTGGGAGAGGCAACGGCGGAGGATGGGGCCCGGCACCGTGAGCCCATGCCAGCCTCCCGGTGGGGAACGGCTCCTGCTCCTGCTCTCTGGTCCTGGCCGCTTCCTTTGGGGAGAGCTGGGGAAAT